AGATCTAAAATTATTGGTCTGATAGTAATGTATTACATCCACCTATCAAGTTGGTGAGGATTTGAAATCTCATCTTATCAAATCTTACTCTAAGATATTAGTTAGTCTATTGATGTTATATATCATATTAATAATTGAATGTAGATATGATGATGATGGATTATACTTATTTATTAAAAATATAGAATATTGGTTAAATAATAATATGTCAGATCCACTTTTTAATGGATGAGGATCCAAAATATTATCAGAAAAAAAAAATATAATATGAATACAGTGAGTATATTATTTATTTATAATATATTTTAAATATATTCTAACTTATTAATGGGAAAAATGATGAATCCTTTATAGATACCGTTAAGATCTGTGCAGCCGTCTTGGAATCGTCTCTTTCCTGCATGTACTTGCTTTAAGATCTGTGCGGCCGCGCAGTGGTGCTCTTTACGTAGATTGTTGTCTTTTGAAAATGGACGGCTGGATGTACTTCTAAACATAACCCGAGCCGTCGGATTTACCGCTGCTTGGTCCCGAACAGAATCATCGGCAATGGACGTCCCCTCCACCTTTCGGCACGAAAGCGAGAGAACGGAGAGCCAAATCCACACGTAACGCCCACTTTCATCCTCCCTTTGTCCCTCTGATGCATCATTTCCCTACTTTAGAGTCGTGGACGAAGGAAACCAGCACGGTCAGCTGTGTCTCTCCTCTTCCGTATGGCAGCATGTAGGAGCTCGTAAGCTGCACGCGATTCTGTTTGTCTCTTCCCCCAAAGAGTTTATAGTGACGATCAGTAGCTTTCTTGGTTGCTTTGAGGAGTTCCACACTCTATGCGATAGTTCTTGCTGGGCTAAACTGAATGGGAATAGGGAACAAAATGTGTGGGTTCCAATTCGTTTCAACCCTCTTATGGTGTGCCCGTGAGACCAGGAGGGCACACCTTCTTTATTGGACCACACAGGTGGAACATCACTGAAACCAATTCATAAGCTTTTAATTGGTTTAATGAAAACAAGCTCAAATTAGTAATTTTTTGAAACAGTGTCAACTTGGGGTTGCCATGTTGTCATTCTCTCTTCTTTTATCTCAGCTTGGAGGTTGGATGCTTATTAAGGTATATACTTCCTTGATATGTTGTATATTTATCTTAAGAATCATGTTTAGTGTCTGATTTTACAACCTTTTCCCATAGTTTCACTTAATTTTAGATCTGAGTTGATCAGCGTTATGTTTGAACATGTTATATTGCTGGCAATGCATATTCGGGCTTTAGCTCAATCAATGTGAGTATAAAATTTCTTTCAAAAAGGCTCACTTCTTGTTAGATATGGTATTGCCTTGGTTTTGTTAACTATGGATCTACCAAGCTCTAGTGCTTTGATTAAGAATTTTCTAGATCAGTGACCTACTTTCATGAAGTGGGCACCTATGGTATGAGCTCCCCTTTGTCTTATTAATACTTGTTGAAAGTTCATAAATTGATGAAAAACTTGCATGTGTTGATCAGAGAGCATTGTGCAACCCAGCATTGGCCCAAGCACAGCAGAAAGAACAAGGCATCATCAAAGAGCAATAACCTTTAGGCCTTGTGGATCTAAAATTCATAGCATAATTACTCAATATTGCATTGACATAGGAAAGAATAAATGAATTCAATGGCATTAGTCTCTATTTTACTGCAATTCCAGTATGGCATTGCAGCAATCAGCGTTTGCTCTCTGTATTCTAATAAGATTAGTTTTTGAGGATCCTTAAGAGGAAGTGGCTGTTATATATATGTGTGTGTGTGTGTGTGTGTGTATTAGTCTTTTTTTTTGTTTTTGAAACTTCAACTTAAACTCCAAAAAAAAAAGCTAATCTGGTTAGCTTGGTTATACTCAGAAGGTTTAATTTAAACTGACTAGTAGAGTTTGTGCTGTTTCTTTCTTTAATCATTCATTACCAAGACAAATATCCAACTAGACTTGAATATAGTTTGTTTAAAGAAATTTGATTAATTAATTACGAAGTTGGTTGTTAATATATGTTCTATCATAGTTTTTTAGTCTCATCTGGGTTTAGTTTTCCATGCATTCTTTAACTTCTTTGTTTATTAGAAGAAGAGTAAATATTTAATTCAAATTTATAAAATAATCAAATATCCAGAAATGACATTTGAATACACCATTGCCATGCACAGAATACACCATTTGAATTAACTTCTTTGTATCAAGGTAATGAGTAATTTGTGCCTGCTACGTAATTTTCTCGAAGGATATCTTAGTCATTTTAATCTTTTTAATTTGTTTATCTTTTGATCCAGAATGTTGAAACTGCTCCACAACCTTGGATGCCATGGGAACTGTGTAAACTACTCTTGCTAGCTCAATGGAGAACAAAACCAAGTTAAGAAAATTAATGTTTCTAATTGTGTTGTTCCCTATGCAAATTGGTCCAGAGTCTGAGTAGGTATACCGGAGACCTGTTTTTGACTGTCAAAATTAGAAGTTGTATTCTGTGCACCATTGCTTGGTTTCTTTGTTCTTGCCTGGATATCCACCTCCATAAGCTGTCATAGGACCTGAAATCACCTTGAGTTTTCTTCGTTGTATGATGTTCTTGTTTACCAGAAATGGCACCTGTACATATGATCTCAATTTGTACTATCTGATTTTTCACAATATCAGGTTCGCAAATCTAAATTGCATATAATTATCTTGAGTCTTTTTTTGCTTTGTCATCTTGATCATGCTAATGTTGGTACTCAATACAAAGTATGAATGACAGGTAAGTTAACTGTCTGACATTTTCTGATTGTTATGGTCCTGTTGTTGCACATGTAGAAAGGAACTATATGATTCCCAATCCAAATAGTCCACAATGGATGTGGTGCTAGGAAAACTTCTTTTTTCATGGAAATTGCAGCTATCAGTCATCTGGTTGGAGGATACCTGAGAACTGCAATGTTTACTATCTTTGATTATGAGCTTGCAAAGTATATTTCACCTCTAACCCCACTCTCTATTGATCTTTTTCCTTGTTCTATCTTCTTTACTTTTTCTTCTCCTCTACTTTTTGTATTCTCTCTTCTTTTTTGGGTTTGAATTGCTCATTCTGTTGGTGGTGGGTACTTCCACCTTTTTATCATTGTACCAGTCACTGCCACATAGGTGATCTGATATCAATACAGAAACCCTTCCAGATTGATTGTTTTCTTTAATTTGTGCCTTGAGTCCAATTGCTGGATAAGTTTGGGTGACCAAAGAAACAAAGAACAGTGACCTGGAAGAGGAGAGACTTTAAGGCACATAGATCAAATATTAGACTGGAAAGCTTTCTTAGGCATTGATTGTATGATGAATTCTCTTGAACTTGTATTTGGCTAATCTCAGATATAATTGTTGGCACATTTACAAAGAATGTATGTTAATAGATAGCACTGATGATTTTTCTTGTAACTTGGGGATTTCTTGTCATATTATAGTAATTTTGGTTGAAGTATAGATTCAAGAATTATAGACCATTTGATAAGCTTAGATATTCATGGTCTCATGGAAGGTTTCTGCACCAACTCTCCCTACTAAAATTTTTGTCAGTGTGAAAATGAAAATAAATTATTTAATTTTTTAAATGACATTTTTCTAGCTCCTACAGTAGCTATGCATTCTTGACAATCAACTAGTGGTTACATTTATGTAGCACACTCTTTCTTTCCCCTCTCTGTGGTCACATGTCCTTTTCAGATGTGCTTGAATAAAACCCATGTTCCTGTAGCATAAGAAATTCAAGTCACAGAGCAAATATAGAATTTCCACTTCTGTATGTTTGAGTATTGGTTTTTGTTCTTTTTTTACATTTATTTGAGTTCAAAACATGCATAAATTCTTATACTTTGTATCATATGAAGTCACTGAATAATTGTAATCCTAAACTAAAGTAAGTCAACCAGTAAGCTTAACCTTCCATCCATCAAATTCCTGCTTTTGTAGAATCCAGCACAAAATTTCATGTTAATCTACTGATATGGTGCCAGTTCACACTTGAACTTCAATTTGATGACACTTGACTTTACTGTCCTTCTCACAGCTGTTAATCCAGAATTCAGCTGTCAACCTCAAATTGACGCAATTTGAGGATCATCTCCAGCATGAATCTTGAGGAGCCAAGGGGAGGGCAAAAGAAGAGGATAGGTTGACGATCCAAATATCCAAGTAAAGCCTGACCTTTGTTGGGAGTGTTTCCGATACCTAAGTCAGAGTGAGTCCTAAAATAAGATTTAAAGATGGTATGCAGAGAGACATGTATAATTTTGAGTTCTATTTTATAGTCGAGAATTTCTAACCGTTTAAGGATAGGACGAATATTTTTTGAATATTTTTCGGTTTCGATTTGTGCTAATGTGACAAATTTGGGTTATTTTCATTTTTGTTAATAGTCAAGCTGTTTTTGACATGTTTAATCCTAAATGAGGACGAATATTACCCCTATCAATGGCATCTTAATATATCGTTGGTGATCCACAAAAGGAACTAATTAGCTATCATGCAATCCATGCCTCCTCATATCATCAGCATGATAGTGATCATCTATGTGGGCACATTAATATCTTATCTTATTGCTGGTTGCCATGAGTTGCTTTCACTGGCTTTACTACCTTGCTTGGTGTTTAAGCCTTTAAGGTTCTCAGTGAGTTCAATAGAAACTGCAAACAGGTGTTCTATATTGTTCTTATATCAGACAATGTCCCAAGAAAGCAGAACATCAGCAACATTGTCTTCACATGATCACAATAGAAAAATTGCTTTGGTTTATCCTTTGTAGTCATGAAGTCAAACCATCTTCTTCCCTACATATCATCACAAGCCACCTGATGCATTCCAACTCTGATAAAAGAGGCCACCCTGATCTCATAATGGCCCTCCAACAACATGATGTGGATTGGTTGCTCTCAAGTCCTCACACTTTGATGCCCAGCATGCAACAAGGAAGGTAATTCTTAATGTTCTTATCATTACCCAGCAAAGCATTCATCATTGCATCACTCCCAAGCTACAAGCCCTTATGATGCTAATCGCCACACCGAAAAGAAAAAAAAAAAACCAAAATGATTGAAAATATAAATTAAATTTAAGATGGAATCAGAGTGAAATCATGGCTATAGAAAAAATTAAAATGATATTGATAGAAAAAAAAATAGAAGAAAAATGCAAAAATAGATGTAGAGGAGTAAATATGGCACTGAGGATTACAACAGTCATGAAGAATGTTGGGCTCTGCCCCCATGACCAAAAGGTTTTGTCCATAAATGCACATTTCTTTCATTGAATTCAGTGGCACTTACATTGGCCAAGTCAATAATTGTTCCTACTGTTCTCCCTTTATGCATTAAACAAAGGCAACCTTCTCTTCCCTGCCATGATAATTCCTGTGTGTGTGGTGGAGATCAAAATGTTGCATGTGCAATAATGCTTGAAATAATTGACTTGTATTTGGTGAGGAAAAAAGAACCCTGGAAATGATGAAGACGGAGTCAAACCCCAGCGGGAAGAACGTTCTCTTTTGTGACCACTGCTTTGTCGGCGTGTCGGGGGGGTCGTCATTTTACCGCTCCCTTTTGGATTGTAGCAGCGGGCGTGGGATTCTATCTGAGTGGCGGTCTTTCGTGGGCCCCTTTCGTTGGACGGTGCTGATGGGCGGGTTTCCATCGCGTTCGACCTCATCGCGTCGGCCTCCCCGTGGATGTCTCGATCCGTCGTCATCTGCAGTCCACCTCCCACCCGCCCGCCTACCTGTCCCCTTATTGCTGGCTGAACTCGTCCCCGGTGGGTCCCGTTTCAGATATGGGAAATCAGGCTTCCGTTAGTCGCTTGAAGTCGCCCAATAATTCATGAAAAGAAAAGATGGAAGCACGTCGGTCACGAGCCACGGCGACGGAGCGACCGAGAAACGAGGCAACGCTTTTCCTACCCGTTTACACGGTACCCACTTTCCAGAACGGGGATCGGCGGGGTCCATGAGCAATGTCCAATCGATGGCAAAGTGGTGAGCTGAGATGGGTACGGCACCAGCGTGTGGAAAGGTATATTCTCTTGCGTGCAAATACAATACACAGAGCCAAGCGAGCGCAAAAGAGAGACTTAAATAACTAATACTCATGTAGTACAACTAAACAGTAGAAGACGAACGACGACGGAGGAAGAAAAGAAAAGAAAGGGGAGAAAGGAGAGGAAGAGAGATCGAGGACGGAGAGAAGGAGAGAGAGAGAGAGAAACAGAGAGAGAGAGGGCGGCTTTAAAGAAGAGCGAAGAGGAACCCCAACAACCGCGTGTCAACCGCCGCTGCTGCTACTTCTTGAACGACGACGGCGACGAATGCGCTCCTCCTCCTCCTCCTCCCCGTTGCGATTCAAACCCTAATCAGCCGTCTTGTCTTCGCCTCCTCCCCTCCTAAATGGAAGGTAAGCGCTCGCTCGCTCGCTCGGTCTCTTCAGTTCTATTGTTCATTTGGAGGGGAAATTCTAGGTCTTTGTGAGATCCGCTGCCTTCTTGTGATCCTTTCATTTTCGAAGCCGGGAATGCAAATTTGTCGAATCGAGATGGGGTATAAGGGTTCAGATGAGTCTGAAGGTCACTGATTGCTGGGATCGGAAACTAGGGTTTGTTTGTCTCGGATGTAACTTTACCTTTGCGCCGTTCTTCGTAATCAAGATTCTTGACTCTATGGAATGATGATCTCGGAATACATTGCTTTCTCGTCTTTCTTCGTAACATGTGCCCTGACTAATCTCTTCTCTGCTCGATCCATTCTCAGGCCTAACAAGAACCCTTACATCAAGAAAGCACACAAGTAGCTACGGAAGCTCTCCACAAGTACATCATAAAGAAGCCAGAATCAATAATACGAATCAGAAAGACCGTGTTAAGAAAATTTAGTTGTTATAAAATCAACATGGGAGACCAAGATATCATTACTTAATTTCTAAGTGATACTTGATCTTGATTTTTACATCTCAGAACTTGATCACCATTGTAGTGGTGTAGAGAGCTCATAAGTGGAGGGAAGAACATGGTGAACAATGTTGGAGAGGAGGACAAGGAATTGTGAACCAAGTGGTGGACTATGGTGGAGAATAATTAGAAGAGTGGGAGGTGCAATTAAGGAGTAGATGTGGGGCAGTAGGTGAGATTTGGCTGCAAGGGTTAAGCTTTAGGAATGGTGTAGGAGTAGAAGGGGCTTGTGTTATGGGATTAATGGGAATATAGTAGGGTTTGAAATGTTTGATGTATTTGGGCACAAAATTTTAATTTATATTTTTCCTATTTTTGAAAGTCAACTCATAAATACATTTAAATAAAATTCTTGAGAACCATATTTTTGTTTTTTCAAAGAAGCTTGCATGGCGGTTTGGAAGTGTCTCTGGTGGCATAGTGGAGAGCGCATCCCTTGAAGAAAGAAAAGTCGAATGTAAGAAAGATAAAGTCTTTTGTAAGAAAGAGAAGTCGAATGTAAGAAAAATAAGCCTTTTGAATCAGCGGTTCCTGTCCCAATACAGAAAAATCATTTTATTCAGATCTGTAATGGATTGATAAGAGTCTCCCACTTCCAAATTTAACAGTAACAGAAAGTGTTTTTTTGCCTTTAAGATTTTTAAATAGTATTGCCTGAATGAAAACTTCCCAATTTGATTGCATGTCATGGAGGGACATCTTGGTTGTCCCTTGTAGTGTTCATAGAAAACAATTTGATTCCCAAGGATGGATGAACTCCCATCATTCTTTTAAATGCTTTCTAGGTTGGAATTATGTCAATTGAGAATCGTATTCAGAATTATAACTATCAAAATTATAGGAAATGGATTTATTTCAACTTTTGTACTTACCAAACACTAATGACCTTATATAATGATTATACAAGAAAATGATAAGCCCTTACATTTGTGCTGACCAAGAACTATGATTTTTATTGAATAAATAAAAAAAACTTTAATGTTGTTTTTACCTAACATGTTTTTAAATTTCTGTTCATGAACATGGTTACTGCCAACAAAATTTCTATGTGCACAATGACATAAACATAATGTAATAATATTTTTAAATTTTTTAGGAAAACATAAACAATGTCAAATGTGTCCTTAGTGTATGTATTTAAATTGATATACAAGTTAAATTGGGTTGCTCGGGTTGCGCGATAGTGCAACCTGATCCCTGCACAAATTTAGTTGGTTTGTTAATATCTTGACTTCAACTGACTACCCCATGAAATTATATTCAAACTCTACTAAAAGTTAGGTTGGACTAGGGTTGAACTGGAGTTGGCCAATAGGAGCTGCACCCGTACTTTCGGTTGTAGAACACATTGTACATGGGTTATCTTTGACAAATTTACATGGATCTCCTTTATAACAAATTTATAATAGAATTTCATTACACGGGCTTGAAAAGCTTGCTGTGGAAGGACTTAAATTTGAAGGTATTATGCCTGTATCAGTCCATCGATGGTGCTTCCCTGCTTCTTTTCAAAGATCTCATTGAAACTAACATGATATTAGGGAATTTTGAGGCAAAAGTCTCCTTTGCCCCTCCCTCTGTTCTCGCAGAAGGGTGACTCAACTGTTTGATTGTTCCTCTCAAAGAAGATCTCTGATAAAATGGAGGTGATTTGTTGAATGGCCCAAATAATCAAAGCAGTGAGGTGAGTCTTCCCCCCTCCCTTCCTCTATAGCTTGCAGTACCCATCTGAGGCCAATTTTGATGGCTTCCTTCCTGGTCAAGAGGGGTGGTCTATGGCAATCGGTTAACTATGTAGACTGAACTGATAGGATGTTTAAGTGATTAAATCAGTTTAAGTTTGATTTGTAACTCTGCCAATCCCAACTTTCCTGTTTGTTTGGTGATTTTGGTTCATGATCATGAACACCCCTATATCTATTGAGTGCTAAATTTTAATAGTGTATTCTTGTTGATAGGTGCTAGTTTAGTTAATATAAAGAGGCTGGCTTGTTTTCACCTTTTTGTAGACTTTATCTTAATGTATAAAAAGTTAGAAGAACTAGAGTCATGGCTTAAGTTAACTTTCATTCACTGTTTAATATCTCTCATATTGTTAGTATTCCTTTCAGGCAATTTTCATTTAGTTTCCTTTCTACTGTAGCATTTAAAATGAGAGGCTTTTTACTATCTATCTACATTTTGCTCTTATAAGCTAATAAGACTGTGTGCACTGCTATCTATCTACATTTTACTCTAGTAATTCATTGGCAATTGGCTTGCATTCCCCCTCTTTACATGAATGAAAAGACTTATAGATGTACCCTCTTACAATGATTGATTTTGTTGTAGCATATTTCCTTGACTGTTCTTTTGCTTTTAACAAAAGGCAATAATCAAGTAAATATGCTAGATTTGACTGCCATTAGTTTGTCTAGTGATTTTG